AATAATCTGAACTTGGTCCACCGATCATTCATTTCCCCCCAATCAAATAATCGCGAGAGCTACCTCAAGTTCGATGACCCCAGTACAATCTTCCTCCCAAACATTCTAAGACTGTATATATCGCTAAATCATCCACGCAGACGCAGAGCTGGCTTCTTCATCTTTCGAACGGGGAGGGAAGACGACCCTAAAGAGCTTAAAACAACTCGTAACAACCCCCACCGTTCCATCGGCCGGTGTCTCGCTCGAACGATATATTTTCCTCCGGGGAGCCACAGTTTTCCGCATGGAAAGGCATCCCGACGTAATTCTCCTGTCGTCCGAGGGTTTCGACCCCTTTCGACCCTCCCATTCCTCCAGCTAGTGCGTCCAGCCGCGTCGAGGCGGCTCGCAAAAGCCGAGCTGACGTTTCCGCGACGTATCAACGACACCCGTGCGTTATACCTAGAGGGATGGAGAACCTAGTAGCTAGCCAGCGAGCGTCGACCCTGGTGTCGTGCTGTTTGTCATACCACGAGAAACATGTACGTAAACGGCTGTCGTGGCTGGCTGCAGCCAGAAGCACAGACCGCGACTAGAGTCGATAATATCAGCGTGGAAGAGAGAGACAGTCGCTTTGCTAGGCCTCCGAGCAAGCCCAGTTGTCAGATTTTAACGGGTCAGAGGTGAGACAGGAACGGTGATTAAGGGCGAAAGATGGAAACCTCGTGAGCTGGGGTTTGAGAATGCCTGTTGAATTTGGTTCGGACCCTCTCGGAAAGTTCGATGGCGAGAAAAGTGTTCCGGTCTTTTAGGGTGTCCTGGTCTGACCCAGTTTACCAGGCGGGGGAATATAAATTCGTGTGAATGGAACGGATAAGTAGTCGATTTACACCGAGCTGGCACGGAACTTCGAGTTAACATTACTTGTCGGTTGGAAGTGAACTTCACCTGGATTTTGGGGAAGGTCGGATCTAGAGTGAAGTTAGACTAGAAGCAACCTAATGCTGATCTGTTTTTCAGTTTTGTTTGAAATGAGGCTTAAGCGGTTAGCCCACTCGGACCAAGTGAAAATCATAGGTACCTGTGAAATGAAATGTTTTATTTTCTAGAAGAAATTTTCTGGAGGAGTACGTAGGATTTTAAAAAGATGTTTAGTTCTGTAAGAATGGTGAGTTAGTGAAATAAAAAAATCGAATTTGGCCAAGAAGTTTTATACAAAAATATCTGTAAAAAAGAACATTTTTAGGATATTGAACAAATCCTACGTACTTCTCCAGGAAATTTCTAGAAAATGAAAAATACTTGGTTTTCATTTTAGTGACTGCTAAAGTGTCTAACGTAACTTTTATGCTACTAGAAGTTACAATTAATTATGCATTCTGTGAGTGTTATAGACATATAAAAATAATAACATCAATTCGCGATTGAAAAATATTTTCACTATCGAAAGGCCCCTCTGCCATTCACAGGACATCCAGTCTATTCAGCCTGCAAAAAAGCTTCGCGTTATAGAGGGAAGAATTCTGGATATTTCGTGGTATTGAATTTTTCATCGACTACCGCGACTGATGTGACATGTGAGGAGAAGAGTTTTCTCAGACACGGGACACATTGCTCTCGCAAAGTCCACAGCGCATCACGCTTTTATAAAGATCGATTACCAATCTCTTCCATCATCGGTGCCCATGCCCCCATTTACACGTCGGTTTGAAACGACGACGGGCATTTATGAAACACCATATATCCTACCTTCTCGTATCAAAACATTGTCAATACTACTAACAATACAATTATCCGTCAAGAATATATTAAATATTTCAAAGGATTTACTAAAGAAATCACCTCACCAAAGGAAAAGTAATTATTCAGAAAGCATTTACTACGAGTTCGATTTCTGCGACCAGTATTATTGACTTGAACTACTGAATAATACATGTACAAAGCTGTCGCCGCCATCACTAGCTTATACCACTGAATACTAACATTGCAGCTGATGTACAGTTTCTTCACACAAATGATAAGTATTAGAAAAAAATAAAAGAGGAAAAAGTTTTTCGGCTTATTATGGCCAACATAATGGCGTATATCAATGTTTTACACTTGTACTATTTTTGAAGTAACAAACATGTTCTTTAATTTTTTAAATGGAATATTATACACTTTTCTTGTCATACGAAAGACTTCACTTAATTGCATGTATGCATACTGGTTTCATACCCGTATAATAACTAAATAAATAAATAAATGACTGATAAATTTTAGCGCTTGCTTTGCGAGATATAACGAGTGGCGATATTAGGAACACGGTATTAGGTACCGTAAAAAAAAATATCGTGTATACACGTAAAATTCGTGACTTCTTGCCATCATTTTCTATACGCACGCGCACTCTCCGTGAATGCAAAATCACGAAAATCTCCGGGGAATCTCTCCGTCCGACTAGGCGGCAAACACTGCATCAGAAAGCTCGAACGTCCAACATGGATGCGTTAAGCATATTATGCCGCCCGAGGGTTTACTTTTGTAGCAAAAGTTACTTCTACGATCGCCAGACGGAAATAAGCGTGTGCACAATGGAGAAAACTGATTCTGTTACCGAAGAAAAAAAAATTAAGCATACGGACAGTAACATTTTCAATATGTAAACATTATAGGTTCTCCGGGGATGTACTCTACGTATATTTACAATTAAGCTACGGTCCACTTTGCACAGTGGCGCGAAATTCCGTCACTGGAACTCCACGCGGTAACACCTCGTAAGTCTCTAGCGTTTCCCGGAAATTTCTCCTCTGCAGACGATAAAATTTTATCCTTCGGGGTTGACTACGAACGATTCCCGTAAATATCCATTCCCGTGAACCGTTTCACGAAATACACCAACCAGAAAAATTCCACCAGCACACCGTGCAGATCATACACGTTCTTTGTATAGGGTGTTGATAAAAAAGTGGGACATTGTTAGAGAGGGTGAATTAAGCCAGTAAATTTACAGCTTAATGCACGGTCTTTCTTAAATCAGCCAAAAATAATCATATCTTTACCTTGTGAAACCTTTAATTGAACATATTTACGCACAATACATTTAATTTTAGGGGAAAAAAAAATTAGAAACATGATACTAGTACTACGAAAAAAATTAAATTTTAAAAGGTAAACTCAAATTTGACGTTTACTTACATTTTACACTTAACAAAAAATTGAATTCGGTATGATACGTTTAAAAACAAGGAACAACACAAGGACCAACATTACATTCGCTATAATAATATTTAAGCTGCTTCTTTAATTGCTACAGTGAGCAATGAACAGTTCTTACGTTTCCCTGTAAATTTTATAAAATATAACATAAGCCCTTCTTCCAGACTCAATTAGTAACTCATAAACGAACCCTCGAACTTAATTTCGTCTTAATTTGTCCACATAAAATCCAGCCCATGAAAATGTCCCACATTTTTACCGACACCCTGTATATCAAAAATGAATTATAAACATCTGCACTGACCATTGAGAATTTCCAAATGCCTGAAGTACGCTTAACATTCTAAACGATGAAATACAGTTTCAATGGTCATTTAATTGCGATTAAACGCAGCAGAGAAACATTCACCGACTATTATTTCTCGTTACTTTTTAGAGGGTGCGGCGTGTATTCGCGTGCTTTTGGAAAGAGAAAGATAAGACGAGACCGGAAGGCTCGTCGTGCCGTTCTGTTTTGTCGCCAGAGAACGAGGCTCGAGTTGTCCTCTGTTGACCCAGATGCGGCCGTTCCACCGGTTAAAGACGAACGAACGGAAACGGAGTGGGGGGTTGGATCGTTGCGGACAATGCTCTACGGTGTGCATCTGCAACGCCGAAAACATCCTTCTTCTGTTCGGCCCGTTATTATACTTCGGAATAAATGGATATTGTGCGCCCGGTCGACGTAAGGACCGAGCGCCGCCGGTGAACAAAGGGTCATTGTTGGCCGCCGTTAGGCCGAATGGACGTTCGCGTGTTGTTCGTTACGTTGAATGCTACCGAACGCCACCCCATGTCCTTGTCCTCGTCCTCGGTCGCTTCGAACCAATTTTCTGATTAAGCGGAACCAGCCTGTGAATCGACGCTTCGTATAGACGTCGTATAGACGTTGTTTAGACGTCGTATAGACGTCATCTCTAATCCGAATAAATAAAACAAAGTTCAAACAGTGAGACGAGAATGATTTCAGTGACACAAGGCACAATTATTTAACGCGAGGTTTCAATTATTTAAACTTATTTATTTATTTAGTTATTACTAGACTGCGGATTTTTATGCAAATATAAACTTTTGGAGGTAAGTTTACAGAAACTAGACTCAAACTGGAATATTTTTACTTACTGTTTTACCAGGTTCCAAAGAAAATAAAAATTTCTTTAAAAGTCATCAAACACTTATGTATAGTAAATTCTAGAGTATCATGTCTGCTATAAACATTTATTTATTTAGTTATTACAGTACAGACTCTATGAGAATTTGAAACTCGGGACCGCTTCAAAAGTTTCACGCTGAACTGCGAATCGTTTCAACAGCCCACAAATGTATTGTTTGCCCGTAGCCTGATTCTCGGCAACGAAAGTGGGAAAGACAATCAATTATGCACTTGACAGATTCCACGGTCTCCCTACCCTAGTTGTGGAAATCAAATAGAAACTCCTACGAGGAACATCCTATCCGACTCTCATCGAGTCTTTACTGTATAGGGTATAACTCCAAAAAGTAACAGACTCCTTGTTGAGACAGCTAATATTAGTTCACTGTTAATTATGTTTCCAAGTATCTACTTATTATCAAATAATTCCTGTTAACTTTGGTCAACGAATAAAATAATTTACAAGTATCAGAATCCATTTCGTCAACAAAGAAATCTCTGTCACTCCTATTGCAGACTAATGGTCGATAAAAGAGAAAAATATATCATTCAAATCGTTAATGCAGGGCAAAGGGTTATTTTAAGATATCAATAAAAGATTGAAGTCGAGTTAACGTTAATCTGCACAATGTGTGATTCACGTCCATCTAATCTCACGTCTCCATTCGTTACTCTGTTTCAGTCCCTATATCGCACATCGTGGCGCTGGTCGGAGATCCCACGTATCTTCCCTGCGACATATCAACCACCGATGAAGGGGACTCGGTGCGTCTTGTGCTCTGGTATCGCGAGGATCTCGGTACACCGGTTTACAGGTGAGAGATACAAATCAATTTGTTACGGTCCCTCCCCCCATCCGGTATATGTACGTCCCCGTGTGGAAATCGGCGACGGTCGTTTCTCTATCGGGGTCCAGGACAGGGCCGCAAACAGGCCGTCGACGGGACGCAAGATTAGTGGCCGGGGGAAGTTGACTTCCCATCCGGCGGTAAAATTTATTCCCCCCTCGCGGAACGGCTTTAACGCCTCGGGCGACGTTTAAATGATTCAGTGACACAGAGCGCGGTGGCTCCGCTACTTTTAATTCTATTCTTTCTTTAACACTGTGTCGGACGTGTCGCGTATGAATCACGCGAATTTCTCGTGTTCACGGATTTATTGTTTTTCGGGGCCAGATATTGTAGCAGTGAATTCCATTTGGTCGGGATTCGAGATATTTTGACGAGCTTATTAGTAGATATACAGGGTGCGGCATTTATGGTGACACGTGGAAATATCATAAAAACAAAGCATTTGATAGGAAAATATGTTAGAGAAAAGTTGGTTGGTTTTGAGGGGGAAAGAGAATGACTTTATTTATTTTTAATCTGGTGAACGTTTTGAAGGTAATTTCAAGGTCAACTTCGTTTTTTTTAAATGGATACCTATTATTACCAAAGAAATAAACAGTTTTTGTCTGAAACGTTTTTCTATTATACTTTCTTTATCCATTCAAAAAACCATGTTGACCAAATGACGTTCAGAACTTTCACCAAATTAAAAAGAAACATATTTTTTCATGAAATGCTTTGTTTTTATAATATTTCAATATGTCAACTTAAATATCGCTTGGAGAAACCTTATTCAATTTTTTATTATTCATTTTGGAGGGGGAGTTAACTTTCTTGTATTAGAGTATTATTTGTTTTGCAGCGTCGACACAAGGCATCGAGACTTCAGGATCGCCGAAACATGGTCGCACGACTCGGTGTTCTCGAACCGGGCGTTATTCATGCCGGACAAAAATCCAGCGGAGCTCGGCGTCGACCAGATAAGGGAGGAAGACGCGGGCGTCTACAGGTGTCGTGTCGATTTCCAGATCGGCCAGACGCGCAATTCCAAAGTCAATTTAACGGTGATAGGTGAGTCAATTCAAACCTTTGTGCTGTATGTTGATTGACGCTGTAATTGCCTTTATCTGAAATCTATGAGCCACGGTTGAATAGAAAATCCACAGAACGTGATTGAAAATATATTCTACTGCTTTTCTCGATTAAAAAAAGTTCTCCCAAAGTAACAGAACTGTCCTAATTAAAGACCATGGTCTCCATAGACGTGTAATATTCGAATGACACTTGGGGACATCGTAGAGAAACGGATTAAGAAACAAAATCAGTAGAACAAATCAGTCTCTGGTCAGAACGTGAAGAAATTTTTAATTTCTTTGGTAGAGACAAATTCACTCTAGTAGAAGATTATTTCAACGCATATGAGAACTTTCAAACCGACAATTTAATCTCAAAGAAAAAATTACGAAAATCAGTGGAACAAGGCAGTCTATAGTCAGACACCTAGAATATTTCGCTCGCTTTCCCAACGTAGATATCGTATTCGAAGGCAAATTGAAACTGACAGTTGACTCCGCCACGAAACACGCCGAGACCGTTCACAAACCTGCGTTTCCACGGAACACCAGAAAAATCAGTCCATTCCATCTTCGTGGTACACGAAATTGTCGGCCGCCGTCAAACACGCGTATCGCGCAGCGTATATTGAACTGTCACCCACACCCTCCCCCTCGAAAATATCGTTTTCTGGAGCATCAAACAAAATTTCACAGGGGTAGATAATAAAAAAATCCATCCGGAGGTAGACAATACAGAGATCCGTTAGTCAGGTTCCATGGAATCTACGGCTGTTACGAATATTCGAAGTATTCAAAATGTTCGGATCATTCGGAATATTTGAATATTTAAAGTGATTGAATTTTGAATTCTACTGAATTAGAATCGGAACGTAATATATTTGTTCATACTTTATCGTGAAATTCTTACCACATTGGCCTTTAGAATAATTTGTTTTTCAAATTCCTATTCGGTACAATCCGAAATTCGATCACGTCTATTATTCGAATATTCAAATAATACGAATACTTCATACTAATTAAATATTCGAAAACTCCGTACTATCCGAATTATTCGAATTCTTCGTACTGTTCAAATAAATAATTCGTATTCGAAATTATTCAATTTATTCGAATAATTCGAATATCCGAATACTTGAAGTTCCAATGGAAACCGCAGTCGGTGTTCTTCGAGCCGCAGAAAATCCTTGCGCGCCTACGCGAAATATCCAACTGCAAAGAGTCGATGAAGCGTGTGTAGTGTACGCATCGCTACAAAAACGATCCGTAGAATATTTTTTTTTCTTCAAAGCTTCTCCTCGATATACAGCTATTTACGAGAATTCGACGATTCCAGAGCTTCCAGTTTCTCGCCAATAGACTTTCCGGTTTCTAGCCCTTTTTGGGCCACGGACGGTTGTCGAGCGTTTTCCCCATCGGTGAAACATGCGACGACGCGAAATGAGAAAATATATCAAGATGAACGGTATGCCAGCTGGAAACCGTTGGACAATGCTTGCAAACCAATGCTTGCAACGTGCACCACGTGTATCGAGCATTCTCGGCGGAGTCACAGGGACGCGGTTTTATCTGGTCGGCGCATCTCAGCGACGAGCTGAAGTTTTTAACGGGTCCTATTCCGTCACGCGCGCAATTTATCCGGCAGGAATTCACGACTGCCCAGTCGTGACGCAATTTTTCGACGTACGTACGTGTGCCACGCAGAAATTACGTGGGAATTTTTCGGGCACGGGCCATACGGCTAATATTACGTCAGGGAATAACTAGATGCGATATGCGCCGGGGAAAATAAGCTTTTTTTCTTTGACATCGCGCAGAGGAAGCTGTCCATTTCACAAGGTATATTGCGTATTAACGGACGCGGACGAAATGAAACGATGTTAACGGAACTTCGTAGAGGTATTGGGAAGTCGTATGTGAAAGTCGTAGTACGGATTTGTAGTGAGTGTCTGATCAAGTACAGAGTTGTACTACTTGTCAGAAGACATTTCTTTATTAATTAATGTTGGGTGATCGATTTTGTGAAATTTTAAGTCCCAGTGTATCTATTCAATGTACTTTAAGTTATCGTGGGCAAAAAGTACGTTTTGAAAATTGAGTCAATGAATCATTAGAATTGAGGGGAACGAGACAGTATGTCGTCAGACTAGATATAAAACTATTTTCTGAGACTCCTCTGAATTTCATCTTTCGATTTCAATTCATGAATTTGAGAAAGACAATACATTACCATTACCATCAATTAGTAATAATTGGGGAAAGCGAAAATATTACTATCTATAAGCTACACATCCGTTTCATTTCTCTTTGGAATATAAAAAGAACTTGAATATCTTTCCAACAGATACGAGAGACATCAGTGACTTTTATTGACAGCCGTGTGATTTTCTACATACAGTTAGTATAACAAAAATTCTATTTTTTTAAAGCATTACTACAACGGAAAACAACACCCTACAATTGTTTGCTATTGGCAGGCGAAATTGCAACTGGAAAAGTATCTTTTTTTTTTAGAAAATCCCGATTACAATAGAGGATTTGTTCTAAATCCCCGATTCGCGTTTATTTCCCTGAAAAACAAACGTTACTCCGTTCTCGATGATCATTAAAACGTGTCCGTTGATCGTGCGCGGCCATTCGTATACAAAAGTTTTCAATCAGACCGCTTGCACACGTGTAATGAAACGTTAAAAGCAACCGGGATCCAGATTCTGTCGGCGAGATAAGCCCAGGCATCGATCGTTTTAATTTCTCACCGAGGACGCTTTAAATCATCCACGAAATTATTAGTTAAAACGAGTTCCCGGGCGTTAACGATTCCTGGGAATAATGTTCGACCGGGTTTAATACGTATTTTCGCTTTAATGATCGCGACAGTTCGCGCGATAAATAACCCGTAATCGTTTACTTAATCTGCCCGGTCCAATCGACGCCTATCGACGGCATTTACCGAGAGAATAATAAATCATCGCGTATGCTGTCATCGAAATTTAACTTGAAAACCAGTATTTTTTATTCGGAAGATTTATCTTCAAAAATACAATCGAAAGAATCTGCAAGATCATGGAAATAGCAAATTGCAGAGTGAACTTCTTTTTGACATCGAAGGTGTTTAACTGGTTCAAAAATAATACACGAGAACTTCGTTAGACCTAGTAGAATTGTTACTCGACACGGCGACAAAAAATCGTACATCAGCTTCATAGGGATTCTTTATAAGGGAAAACTTCTATCTTAAAATCTGTTGTGATTTTAGTTCTCAAAAAAATCTTAATGCCTGTAGAATTGGTTGAATTTGACAAATTTTCGAAACGAAAAGGCAACCTGACTATCCAGTCTCCCACACGATAACTAATTAAGGATTTTAAAAGCAGAGACTTTACGCTTTAAAATAAGAATGAATGTTGTATGTTTCCTTGCCACAAAGTTATAGCAGTTTAAACATCAGCAATTTTCCGTCGAAAATTGACTGTTCCTTTAATTTTGCGGGTCAATATAGATACCACGGTCTGTTCAGTGGAATGAGTCAACGTTCCGGCAGGCACGATCTCGCTGGAAACCGAAGTAACGTGTTCCGTTAAATATTCCACGGGTATTCAGGTTACAATACACGATCCATTCGCTCAAGAGTCGACCGCGAAGAGGAAACTTCCCACGCTGAGAAACGAGGTTTTCCTACCCCCGAAGCCATATTTTATATTTTGAGTGACAGTACTATTGCCGGCTCAGGAAATACGCGACCAATATTCCCAGGTACCATTCCTAGAAGGGGCGGTTAGGCGAGCACGAGATAAACTCCTTTTATTGTGCTGCTTATACCGCGTGAAAGTTTTACGGACAATTCAGCGAAACGAGCTAAATACGACGGGGAACTGAAAGAAACGGTTCGGTTGAGACTGCAATACGCCACAGACAGGCGTACGTTCGAGAGCGATATTTCCCCCGGTGTGTTCCGCTTGAAAAATGGTTAAAGGGCCACGGATCGTAAATTACGTCACATACGATCCTACGTATTGACTTGTAATACCCGTGCTACGAGGCCACGAACCGGTCTGCAACCAGGGAAATGGAAGTCAAAGCGGTAAACCAGGGGGAAAGAGCTGAAACAGCCGTGGAGATATGCTAGTTCGAAAATAAAAATTCCTGGAAACGATTCCGCGACCCACGCATCTGAAAGGAAACCTCGAGCCAGGTGGAACGTTAGTTTATTACGAACGGCGAGATTTAATATCCGTTAAGAAGAGATACATATGAATTAATTGCTTTTTATGATATTCTGTGTTGCGCTTATAATTAACACGACTTGTGAGTGATTCAGTTTATTCTGTACTTAAAAAGTATCAAGCTCGGATATTCTAAGGAAAATATTGATTTTGAGAATGCAGGTAAATTTAATCTGGTTAAATTGACAGCATATTACTAGATTTCAATTATTTTGGTAATGTAATTTAGAAGATAATAAAATGTACGATGACGTAAATATTTTATATACATCATTAGAAATTGGTATACTATCAGATTACGAAACTCCATTACAATCGAAGTCGGACAGTTTGGATCCTACCCTTGTAAGAGTAGAGACAGAAAAAAGTTCCATTACTGTTTTCTCGCCAACACGCCGACGTTTAACTGTTTTTAGACTCCCCTGCTCCATACGCCAGCGTAATAAATTAAACGATTAATGGTTCCAACGGGAATAGCCTCAGTGGTGGAGACAACGTGTTGAAAGTTGCAGTAGAAGCCTTTCTGCTCAGTTAGAGCGACGTTTACGTAAAGGCCTTTCCGCGCACTTAAAGCGACTTTAACATAGAGGTCTTTGCGCGCAGTTAACGCGACTTTAACGTAGAGGTCTCTTCGCGCAGTCAAAGCGACTTTACTCTATTTATAAAATAGTAAATGTTCCACTACAGAAATTCAATGTTTCTCCGTGTAATTCAATGACGCTGGTGACCACCGTGACAGTGATCGTGTTCGCGTCCACCCGTCGAACGATCTCAG